AAGAGAAAAATGATTTAATCATGTTTTAAAATTTTAAAATGGAATTACCGGGTGCCTGGGTGGCTCAGATGGTTAAGTGTCTGCCTTCGGCTCAGGTCATGATCCTAGGGTCCTGGGATTGAGTCCCGCCTGCATCGGGCTCCCTGCTAGGCAGGGAGCCTGCCTCTCCCTCTGCCTCTCTCTCTTTCTCTCATGAATAAATAAACATTAAAAAAATGGGATTATCTATTAAAACATTTTGGATGCGTTGGATTAAATAAAATTATTGACATTAATTTACCTGTTTTTGTTTTTTTTATTTATTTAAATATGGCTACTAGAAATCTTAAAACTAGGTATTTGCTTTTTAAATACACTTTTCTCAGTTGCTACTTCATATTGTTCATTGTACAATGTATTTTGGGAAATATTTGAAATGCTTTATGCATAAGCAGTTGTAGGTTTCAACTACATGCATCCACTTACATGTATAAATGTATTTTGTCCTGATTTTACCATTTTTTTCTAGCTTTACTATAAGAATACTGTATATAATACATATAAAATATGTGTTGATAGATTGTTTATATAATTGACAATGCTTCTGGTCCACAGTAGGCTATTAGTATTAAGTTTTGGAGGGGTCAGATGTTTTATTTGAATTTTCAGTTGTCTTGGGGTGAGTACCCCTATCTCCTGTGTGTTCAAGGGTCAACTGTACATGAAACTTTTTCAAATTTTCTTACGATGAGGCACCTCTGGGTAATCTTGCCACATAGTATTGCGTATTAAAAGGTTTTAGCATATTATTTGGAACATGTTTATTAGTCAATAGTAAGAGTCTTTGATCTGTTAAATTTTCTAATACCAAGTCTTAATACCTTGAGCAAAACAAAATACAAAGGATTCCTTTGTTGATTCAAATGTATATATTATTTATACATACAATTTTAGTTTATTTGTCCTTATATTAAAAGATGCTGAAAGCAGTGGCAAAATTGAGCCAGCATTAAATCTCAGTTAAGTATCAGTTGTTTTAACTTGTTTCCTTTACTTTAGCCTCAGCATTTTTTGCTTAGCTTTTTTGGGAGAATGAGTAGAGGTCTCCTCCAGTAATAACTGATGAAGTTTGTAGTGATTTTTGGCAGATGAACATGGCATGCCTTCTCTGTTGATTTCTTCAGGGTCAGACTCTCAGGCTTTCTGTATCTCTGTGTTTCTTACAGTGGCTAATTAATCATAGTACAGCTTTTCTTTTTTTCCATTTTGTAACTTTCTGCTTTTATAGTTTTTCATATTATAGGATATTTTCAAGTCTTAAGTTTTCCGGTGGCTTGTTATGTGTATTTAGTACATCGTAGGTCTTTTGTCTGTGTTTGTTGACTGAACAGATGAATCCCTCATTCTTGGCTTTGGGACACACTGATTTGTTTTTAATTTTAGGTAATGTAATGGCATACATGCAGAATTAACTTCATTTCTGATTCTGATTGACTCAGTTGAAAAATTTTTTTTAGCTGTTATATATTGACCTTGGTTGAGTTCTGATGTGGTCACAGAACTTTACAGATACCTAGAACTATGGGGAACTTCAACTTCTTGCCAACTGGAAAGTCATAATAGTTTCAGGTGGCTGTGTGGAACCACTAAGGAATTCAATTTAAGGAGAGCTGTTGGACACGTGAAATTAACAAGCCAAGAACAATGATACACAAGTGTTATTAGGTATTTATGCGTTCTTATGAAATCTTAATATCTTCATTGTTATTTTTTTTTTAAAGATCTTATTTTTTATTTATTTGAGAGAGAGAGAGAGAGAGCACAAGAGGGGATAGGGTCAGAGGGAGGAGCAGACTCCCTGTCAGGGAGCCCAATGCGGGACTCAATCCCGGGACTCTGGGATCATGACCTGAGCCGAAGGCAGTCGCTTAACCAAGTGAGCCGCCCAGGCGCCCTTCATTGTCAGTTTTTAAAACAGAATAGTTAAATGTTAAGTACTAATAAATGCTAAAGGTTTACTTGGAATAATTTTTTTCCGTGTTAGAACTTACTCCATAATGCAATAACTTTTCTAACATAATGTAATCAGTAAATTTGTGGACTTTATTTGTAGAACATGTGTCCATTGATTTGAAATGACTTCCACTTGTAGATTTAGTTATGCAGGTCTTCAAAAAAAGTACTACTTGAAGTTAAATTTGATTGCAGTATTAGTCTTAAATATTTGTGCCTGTTATTGGAATCAAATTACAATTCAAATGTTTTAGGTGTAGGCATCAAACTAGTTTGTTAATTAGAATCTAGATTTGCGATCCCTAGGTATGGAAGAATTAAAAAGATAACGGAGTGGTGCTGTATATATGTGCTGTATGAAAAAAGTGCTGGTTGACATCGTGCTTTAGGATAGTATCTCAATTCTTTTAAGAATATATATATTTTTAAAGATTTTATTTATCTGACAGAGACACAGAGAGGCAACACAAGCAGGGGGAGTGGGAGAGGGATAAGAAGCAGGCTTCTTGCTGAAGAGGGAGCCCGAAGCGGGGCTTGATCCCAGAACCCTGGGATCATGACCTGAGCTGAAGGCGGATGCTAAAGGACTAAGCCACGCAGGCGCCCCTCTTTTAAGAATATTTATGCTTGCATATGTATAATTTTACATGTAGGCATTGAGTATTCACGAACTTGGTTTGTTGTAAATTTTTTTCCTTCTTTTTCTCCTTGCTCCCCTTTGCCACATAATCTCTCATTCCCACTCCATTTCGGGTAATATGTATAGCCAGGTGTACATCATACTAGATTTTTCTCTACACTTAATAGAATGGTACATAGATACATACTCATATACACATGTAGGTTTTTTTTTTCCCCCCCAGTATTGCTCTCTAAAAATAGGATTGTCTGTATTTTGGCTGTCTTCCCTTGGAGTGTAGTTTATTTTTAAATGGTTACATAATATTTCATGGCAAGAATTATGATATCCAGCCCTTCCCCAGTTAGTTAATAGACACTCTGTTTTCAGTTTTTTGCCACTCCACATACCTCTTTCTATTGGAGAGGTTTCAAAGAATGGGAAGCTTGGTGGAAGGGAACTTTTCTTTTTTAACTCTAATAAATGTTAACATTACTTTCTAAAAGGCTTAACCCTTCCTATTTTCTCTGTCAGTAAATATAAAAGCTTTTCTGTACATCCTTGCCAGAAAATCTTTAATTTTGGCCAGTCTGTTGGATATAAATGGTTATCTCAATGGAACTTTCGTTTGCACGTTCCCTCTTGTGAATTTTAATGTTTGTTGGGCATTTGGATTTGCTTTTCCATAAACTGTTGTTTGCCTGTTTTCCTATTGGATGTCTTTTGTCACTTTTTGAGATCTCTTAGGACTCATTCATTGTAAGAGTGCCCCCTTCTCATTTAATACCTGTTGACTTTTTGGTATCTCTGGTTATAGAGAAGTTTTATTTTTTACATACTGAACTATTTTTTACTTATCAGGGCTCCAGGGTTACCAGTTCTGGTTAAACGCAGCCTGTGTCATGTTTATACATAGAATTTCTTAAATTTTCTTGTGTTTTTAATTCATTTATTTTATCTTCACTACACCAGGACTTATTTTTGAATATTCATAGGCAAATGTGCTAGTACTGCGTATTAAAAAATAAAATGTTTTCGGGTTTTTTTGTTTTTGTTTTTGCATATGGGGGATTTAGGGGGAGGATGCCTAGCATCCAGGAGAGCTGTCTCATTCAGGTTGGATAGAACCTTCAGAGAATTGCTCCAGAAAGTCTCTGGAGTGCTCTGGGAAGAATGTAAAGACTCTTTGAATGAGGACATTGTGACTTGCTTTGTAGCAAAAATACAGCCAGTTAGGAGTCTTATTACCCTTACCTTACTGCCCTCACCCCTCTTGTTTTACCTGTCACATAGTAAGTGGATCTGAGACCCAGTCTTAACAGTGAACCATTGTGCTGTAGTGAGGTTTTTTTTTTTCCTTCTTTAATGAGTTATTTCTATATCTGTTACCTGAATACACAGTCCAGAAACATAAATGTTTAATTGTCAATTGTTTACATTGCTTGATATAAAAGCACCAGAAGGAAGATTTCTCATGGTATTTTGGGGGAGAGGAGTAGCTTTAAGTACTTCGGGCGCTTGAATGGGAATACTAAGAAGCTTTGGTTCTTTACGTTTGCAAATTAAGACATATGTAAAGTTATGCAATGATGATTACCTGTGTTAGGAGCCTCTAAGTCAGTTTCTCAACATAATAGAGTGTCTCATCCAAATTATAACTCAAACACTATTTTCTCAGTTCTTGTAAGGATAGTGCATAGCTAGTACCATTCTAGATGCATGGGAGAGAAGTTAGTTTATTATCCATAGTGAATGTCTTAGTGATTGGGCTGTATTCTCTTAGAATCCTAGTTAAAAAATACTGTGTGCTGTATTCAATTTTATTTTTACTCTTGTAAAAAGGATCATAGCATGTAGAGTGCAAAGCAGGACAAATGATTCTGATGACGTGTTGATTTGAGGTATGAAAGTGAGCCAACGGCAGGGGTGTCTGTACAGTTAAATTGGGGTTTAGAGTCTAAGGAATAGGCTACTTTACACAGATTTGGGAAGTTAGTGGAAGATCCGTACGGTTTCATCTAAAGTGACATTAGTTCTGAGAGATACTAAGAAGTGTTGTCAGTTAACGTCTGTAAATGGTAGTTTATACTTATTTTTAAGATCTTTTAAGTAGTTTCTACGCTCAACGTGGGCTCAAATGTACGACCCCGAGATTGAGTCTCATGCTCCACTAACTGAGCCAGCCAGGCGCCCCTGAAAGATGTCTTTAAACGCTTGCATGCATAAAATAGAAGATATAAACAAACTAAATTGGTTAGAACATCTTCACATTCAGGTGATTGTGTTTCTTCTTAAAATATCTTCCTCAGTGCCATGGAGAGCATTGATGTTGCAAGCATACTTGAAAAGAGCTCTCCTCTATTATCTCCAGGATTTTCTTGCAAGAATTTTCATCCACTCTGCAAGTTTTGGTGCTGGTGCTTTCTTGATTTTATCAGAAGGTGTCAACAGAACAACCTTCTGGTAAGAAACCTTAATCCTTCCTAAAATTGGCCTTCATTGGTTTGCTGAATGAAATGTCAAGAGGTTGTAGTCAAGTGGTGCAGAAAATTACAAGCAAACCAAGTTTGAACATGCTCAGTGACATTTATATCCTGATTGCCATGTGGTTATCTGCTATTCTTTAAGATTTGCCATCAATTGTAAGATGTATCCTGGTTTCAGAGATACTAAATTGTTAGATTTAGTATCTAACAAATTGGGCTGGGAAGGTAGACTGGGGCCAAACAATGAAATCAGTAAATAAATGGTTAATTGATCAAAGGATAACAAGTGATAATCAAATCTGCAGTGGCAGTTCTTGGGGGTGGTGCATGGAAGGACCTGAGGTGAATTTTGTACAAATTATGCTTTATTAACTTTTCCTTTCTCTTGGTTGTGTTTTCATAATCATCTTAATCCACAGCAGTAACTGATGCAGCTGGGGAAAATGGAGAGTTAGCCCATATAGAGGTAACACAGAATCTAACAAACCGTGCCCAATGTCTTTAATACAGAGAGAATTTATTGTAATCCACATATTTTTAGAAATACAGTAACTTGTCACAAGTTTGGTTCAGTAGTTAAGTCATCAACTGTGATGTTTTAACACACTGGAAAAATGTTATTTGACTGTTGTGGCCAGGTAGAAAAATAAAATTTAAAAATTTCATGAAAGTGATCCTGAGAAAGACTTTAGGAAGAAAAGCTTTGATAGAAGTATTAAAGATAGAGTGAATCTTAAATTATATAAGAATATTTTGAAGGAGGCAGTGATGATTGTGAGAACTTTTTACCTTTTGCTTAGAATAAATGTGAACTAGAGATTTTTGATGGATCCTTTGCTTGGAGTCTCAAAAAAACCTACCCTCCATTTAGGAAGATTATATGGTTTCTTGTGGCAGTTTTTGGCTCAGTCTGTTGGCAATCAGTAAACTCTTCTAACAAGAATTTTGAGGTTGGGGCGCTTGGGTGGCTCAGTCGGTTAAGTGTCTGCCTTCGGCTCAGGTCATGATCCGAGGGTCCGGAGATTGAGTGCTGCTTTGGGCTCCCTGCTCACTGGGGAGTCTGCTTCTCCCCTCCTACCCCTCCCTCCTGCTCGTGATATCTCTCTCTCTCAAAGTTCTTAAAAAAAAAATTTGAGGTTTAAAAGTTACAGCTTTAGGGTATATATCTTCGGATTTTGGATTTTCCACTCTAAAATCTTACTTTAAATTGAGGGTTCAAGTTGTCTGGTTTCTGGGTAGTTTGCTGAGTATTAAGCTTTTTGAGTTTGTTTTCTGTTTGATAAGGAATGTAAATTTTGTGATGTAATGAGTTGCAATTATAGGAGGTTACTAGTGGATTTTTGAGAAATTTAAAGAAATGGCTGAATTTGAAAGGATAGTTTACCTTGCAGTCAAAGGAATTTTTCTTGACTAGGATGTGTTCTTAGTGATTTAGTGGGAATGCTCTCTAAGGGATTCAGGCATCTTTTTAGATTTGTAAATCACACTTCAGGCAAGGCTTTTGATAAATTGGTTTAAACACTAAAATTTTGTTTCGAGCCTTTTTTGGTTAAGATAGCTTGCCTTTCCAGTTGTGAAGTATATATTGAGGTCCCCCCCACCCCCCGGGAACTTTGCCTTAAATAGGCTTTTTAGGAATGGCGCTTTATTTCTTCAAATTAGTATTGCTACCAAACTTAACCTTTTGGAATTTAAAAGTACAAATCAGGAAAAGCATTTTATCATCTGATTGGAAATGAGTTACTGAAAAGAGCTCCAGAGAGATGAGTGTTTGAATTCAGCATTTATAGCCGCCTAGGGAGTGAATTTTGGGACTATGTAGCTGTATGTGGTTTTAGCTTCCCTTTCACTAAAATGAGGGATCTGAAAGGTCTGTAAATGAATTTTTTTTTTTTTTTAAGTAAGCATTATGCCCATTGTGGGGCTTGAACTCACAGTCCTGAGGTCCAAGAGTCCCATCCATGCTCTACTGATTGAACCAACCATTTGTCCCATTAGAAATTTTATCTTCGGAATCAGGTAACTTTCCCACAGACAGGGTTCCTGATTTTTATCCTGATTTTTGACTATATTTATAATCTTGGTCTTTCAATTTCTGAAATAATTCATACCATGTTTCTTTCTGCTTAACCAGTTGGATTCCCCCCCATGACTGCCCTCATCAAGCTGAAAACCTGTTTTTCAGCTGTAGTGTTCTCTGTCATCACAAGTGTATCTTTAAGTTAGGTAGATAATTCTCTGCACTTTGTTCTTTCCCCAAGCAGTTTAAGCTCCCACCTCAAAATTGTTAGGTTGCTTTTTGTATTCTGAAATGGAATGGTCTACAGAACAAAAAGTGGGAGGAGAAAAGCAAAGTTCAGAACAAATCACAGTAAACATAAGATTTTTTATTTTTTTAAAGATTTTATTTAGTTTTCGACAGCGCGAGAGAGGGAACACAAGTAGGGGGAGTGGGAGAGGGAGAAGCAGGGAGCCTGATGTGGGACTCGGTCCCAGGAGCCTGGAATTGTGACTTGAGCTGAAGGCAGACGCTTCACGACTGAGCCATGCAGGCACCCAAACATAAGATTTTAAAAACGATTTATATAATTAAAACTACAACTTATTTTTTCTGTGACTACCCATTCACATAGTTCATACCCATTGTTACTTTCGCTTATTAGCTTGTTCACCTGTTAGCTCACCTGAGACTATAAATTGGGAATTTAACTCAACTATGTTTTACCCTCCTTTCCTTTCTTTGTTGTGATTATTTTTAGCTTTTAGGTAGTGTAAACTTAAGCATTTTGTGGCTTTTTTTTTTTTTTTTTTTAAGATTTAGAGGGAGAGCCCACGCGTTTGTGTGCGCCTGTGAGGGGCAGAGGGAGAGGGGTGAGGGAAAGAGACCCTCCAGCAGACTCCCTGCTGAGTGCATGGAGCCTGAGGTGGGGCTTGATCTCACAACCCTGAGATCATGACCTGAGTGGAAATCAAGAGTCAGATGCATAACTGAGCCACCCAGGTGCTCTTGTGGCTTTTGGGTTTTGTGTTTTTGGTTAGAAAGGTCTTCCTTAGTCTGAAGTTATAAGTAACTCAGGTCTCTCGGAATCTATGTTGATTTAAAAAACTTTGAATCTTTCATCCATTATATTTTTGGTGAAAATGTCTATTTTCATTTTTTCCCAATAATTATTCGGATGTCCCAATACTATTTGAAAACAAACCATTCTGCCTCCTATTTGTAATTTCCTAAATGACTTAGACCTAGTTTTGGAATTTGTTTTGTTCTCTTAAAGTGTGTGTGGTTTTTTTTTTTTTGTCTTGATTGTTATAGCTTTAAAATAAGCTTTAATATTTGGAAGGGATAATGTGTTTTCTTTACTCTCTACTCCCACTTAAAAGTTTCGATTTTGAGTGTTTTAACTTACTTTAAATATAGACATTGGTGTTATTAAGATTAATTTCTTTTCCCCTAATAGAATCATAAACTCTTAGTTATTTTAGTGGGGTCCCACTTAGGGGCATGTTAAGTTTTTACAGTATCAAGATCTCCTAAGGATGTGATAAGATTTACATTTTCCTGAATATTCTATATATATATATATATATATTCATTAGTCGAATTTCAAAGATTCTGCACATAGCTCCTGTACATTTTTGTTGTTGTTGAGGGCATTCCTAAGATTTTAATTTTTCATTGCTGCTGCCGTTAGATTATTTTTTGTCTGTTTTATTTTCCAGCTACTTATTATTTTATCTAGAGAGCAAACTGATTATTAACTTGCCACCTTATTGAATTAAAATTTTTTTAAGGCTGTATTGCTTTTAAAAAAAATCAGTTCTTCAAATAGTACTTCTGTAGCTCAGGGATTTTTGCTGTTTTCTTCATCCCTTCCCTTCCCTCCCATTTTACACATCGTTTGTGGCATTCCTGGGTTTTTACTGTGTAATGTTCTATTTGTTGCTTTGTTGGGGACAACATTCTAAAGATATTTTGATCACATTTTTGATGTGTTAAACTTCCTTGTTGCTTATTGATGATACTTTATAGTTAAGAATTTCACATAAGCATACAAAGGGACAATTTTATAATGTTTTGGAATTTTCGTGTTTGCATATTATGTGGGAAGAGGAAAAAGAAATGTAAAAGGTTTTATTCTGAGAAATACACGTCCTGGGCCAAATGAATGATGAATAGGAAGAGAGACAAAATCCCCAAAGGTTGGATTAGAACATGAGGAGGTACAGAAGTTGTGGAGACATAAAGTCATAAGGCCCTGCTGTTGTCTTCTGCAGACAAATATGACCATTGTTATTTACTGTCCCCTGACTTGGATTTTGGCAATGACCTAACCCTGCCATTTTGCGGCTTGAGTGAATAGGGAGCTAGTGTCATCATTCTGGTGACTTTGGAGCATACAGAAATACCATGAGAAGTGATGTCTGAGTCCTGCATCAAATGGACAAAATTTCATGGAGTTCTGGCCTTTAGAAGCACCTTATCCCTAGAATTAAGGGTTTGGGGATTAGAAAGTGTTTGCTAACTAACAGTTTATTGTTAATCTATTTAATTTTATGTTTGGAGGGTATTAGTAATTTGAGTAGGTGTCTAGAGTTGTATTTTTTCTCAAAAGTTTGTGGAAAACATGCACCCAAACAAAAATGATGGTGGTGATGGAAGTAAAGTGGGGATGGGTTGGAAAGAGTTGAGTAAATGTTGACTTTTAGATAGAAAAATAGATTTTTAGTATAACGAAGGGTAAAATTTCCCAGTGGCTTGGAGCTCTGACTTGAACTCATTTTGTAAATTATACAGAAACTGCAAAGATTTCTTAGTAAAACATTCTAGACTCTGAAAGTTGTGAAGGACTAGAAAACTTTAGTCAAAGTCGAAAAGGACTAACCTCTTGATGGTAAGATATGTTTTACTTCATATTCATGAACTTGGAAATTCTCAGTTTCTAAATATTCCTTACGAGTGTTAAGGGTATTAATAGAGATAGATTTGTTGGTAACATAACTATGAAAGTGCTGACCACAGTCATTGCAGAAAGTGATCTGTGGTTGAACCTACTGGGAATAGAGAAACAGGCCAGGCTGTCATTATTATGGCATGGTCAGATAATCAGAACTGGAATGGCAGCTCTTAATTTTTAACTTTGGGAAAGAGGAATAAAAATGTCTCTGGCATTGCATGGCAGGAGTTGGTATAGCACTCTTGAATGTATCCAGAGTTTAGCCTCACATGAGGATATTTGCATTGAAATGTCCCATAGCACACAAATAAAGCAGATAATAGACATTTGAAGCTGGAGTGACATCAGGGCCAAATACAAAATCATGCAATTGAGTAGCAAATGTGAGAGGAGTGCAATGACTTTAGATTTATTTAGTTACCTATGTTTTGTGATTGGTGAATCTATATTAATGAAAATGATTTTATATTTAGCCACATCTCTTACCTTCTCCTTTCCAAGAGTTTCTATCTTTAGATTTTCTGGGGTGGTAGTAGTGATCTGCTTACTTTTCAGTTTTTGGTTTCTAATGCTTAGAAAAATGTCTGACATATAGTAAGCATTTCAGTATTAGTAACTGTTGTTTTATTTTTTAAATTACTGATACTTCTGTTTTGTAAGTTTCCAAAATGTTGCAGTTTTTTCTTTGCTCTTTATTGTCTATTCTTGTTGGTTTATGCCTTAAAGTTCCTTTAGTATTACTAAATGGACTTTTGGGGGAGGAAGATGAAGTAAACTGGAAATGTTCATCCCTGCCTTGTTTTAACCAGGTACTGCAAGTGTGTTTATTTAGCTAGTTTTTAATGGATATTATGGAGTCTAGTGTGATAAAAATGTTTTAGAAAATTATTTACTGAGTACCTTGTGGCTCAAAGTGTATGTAAGCATTTGGCTAAGGTTTGAGAACTTCGCATTTCTTCTTGACAGTAATACAAAGTGTCACTTAATGTCAGTTGTAATCATATAAATGTAAAGTGGACTGCACTCCCAAGGTTATGCAGTGGCAGAGCAAGAATTTGAACAGTTTTTCTACACCCGTCCTTTGCTCTTTTTTGAATGTCAGATCTTAGAGTTTCTTTCAGCAGTATCAATCAAATGAAGATAGATTAAAAATATTAGTTTGAAAATTAATTTTCAGACTAGAAAATGACCACCGATTTTTATTGTGAATCTTTATATTCATTCCAAAATGGTTTTGAAGCAGTGTACTTAACTATAGTTCAATTTTTTTTTAAGTGAAGGAGGAAGGGAAGTTGGTAGGAAAAATAAAATTAAATTAACTGAAGGTTAGTATTCAAAATGTAGTTATGATTTTTACTAATGGTGGAGGGTAATATTTATTGATATTTGTAATTTCACCAAGTACTATGGTGAACATTAAATCTCAATTTTCATAATTCCATGAGGAATGATGTTGTAATGAACCATTAGGTTAAAATTATGCCCAAGAATATGTAAATGCAAGAGCTTGGGATATGAATCCTGGCAGCCTGATTCTAAGAGTCTGAACTCCTAGTCACAGTCCTAAAGACAGCCTTGCTCAGTTTGAGTATCGATTAATACCTGTGATGTTTTATGGATGTACATTCATTTTTTCCTAATTCTAGGGTAGGTGACACTATGTAGAAACAGATTCAAAGAGGCTAAGTAACTTCTGAGGTTCTATAGCTCATAAATGATGGAGATGGAAATCAAACCCACATCTGCCTAATTCCAAGCTTTGTGTTCTTTTCGGTGTTCCATATTTGTATGTGTAGTATAGGCTTTTGCAGTTAATGTAATTTTTTTAAGTGCTCTCTCTGCCCAAAGTGGGGCTTGAATTCACAACCCTCACAACTCAAAAAGTTGCATGCTCTACCGACCAAGCCAGCGAGGCGCCCCTAACGTAACGTTTAATTGGATATTGACGTGCTTTTGATAATGTTTTTGTTTTTTGCAGGGATTTATCAAAGATGTTCATGAAGACTCCCTCACCGTTGTTTTTGAGAACAAGTAAGTCATTTTTTATCGATAGAGATCTTAAAGATTGGTTGTGCTAAATTCGTGTTTGCTTCTGGGTGTTCTAGTTTTGATAACTTTTCACCTCTTTCTCTGCCCACAATATACTTGTTATTTTTTCATGACTTTTTTTTTTTTGCCAAAACATATGTGAACATGAATTAGTATTTTTTGCAAAAATAGATGGCACAAATGGAATTATACTATGCCTAATTCTTAAAATCACAGAATGCTGAAACGATGTTGTAGAAGGCCTTCCAAATGGCTGCTGTTGTGTATTGGGCCGCCTTTAATTTACACTTGATATTAATAAGGAATAATATCAGTTTTATAGTTGTTGTAGGGTCTAGGTCTTGTTTAGAAAATGTGTAAGACAGGGCCACCCAGGTGGCTCATTCGGTTAAGCGGCTGCCTTTGGCTCGCATCATGATCCTGGAGTCCTGGGTTTGAGCCCGCATTGGGATCCTCATGCAGCGGGGATCCAGCTTCTTCCTCTGCCCCTCCCCCTGTTCCTGTTCTCTCTCAAATAAATAAATAAAATCTTTAAAAAAATGTGAAAGACAGTATGTTGGGCTTGGTTCAGAAGAGTTTTAAAGGAGCACTGTATAATTGAAGGTCAGAAGTCTTCAACTTTCACTTTTAAGCTGCTTCTGGAATGGCCTGAAGAGAGCTCTGCCCAGCAGCTGTTTCATGTAGAAACATGTGTTGGGGTGATTCCTGTCTTTGAGCAGCTGCCATTTCACAGTAATGGTGAAAAGAAAGCACTCAAAAATCTTGTCTCCTGATGTTTTGCCTAGCATCTGCAGTTGGAAGCTATAGGAATTTATTTGCTATTTTATGTGTTAGTGTGCCTCCCAGGCATATGAATGACTTCTTAGAATAGGGAAGAATTTTTTATTTTAAAGATTTTATTTATTTATTTGAGAGAGAGAGAGAGAATGAGAGATAGAAAGCACGAGAGGGAAGAGGGTCAGAGGGAGAAGCAGACTCCCTGCTGAGCAGGGGGCCCGATGTGGAACTTGATCCTGGGACTCCAGGATCATGACCCTCAGGTCATGCTGAAGGCAGTTGCTTAAGCAACTGAGCCACCCAGGCGCCCGAATAGGGAAGAATTTTTAACTTTCTCAACCCAGTTTTTGCAGTATGACACAAAAAATGTTATCTAACCAACAGCCAAGTTTGTTTTAATTTGGTTATATTTGCTATAAAGTTAAATGTCAGCTTTTCCCAAGTTTTAATATTAACATATTCATTGCAGAAAATGTTAATTCTGTTTAAGAAAGTTAAATCTTGTAATTCAGCTGGGCAAAATAACTAATTTTCTGCATTTCTGTGAACATGTACACACAAAAAATGCAGTTAATATTTTATAAGCTCTGAAATTCTGTTCCTTTGATAGGTCATATAGTTGTAAAATTGTTTGAAATAAGTTGGTTGCACTATTGATTGACAGTGTAGATGTGACATTATTTCGAGTCTAAATTATTACGATGAACTTAAGCTATTAAAATGTATGTACTGTTCCTTGAGTAATTTTGATGGCAATACATAATTAGTATTAATGATGCTAATTTATAAACTTCATTAAGAGTCATGCAAAATCTATTTTACCTCAACAGACTTCTTACTTGGAAAGATATAATATGAATGAAGCTTGCTTTTTATTAGAGAAAGCTAAATGATTAACTCACACTCAAAAAATACACACTACCATAGACTGTATAGCTTCCATATTAGGGACTTTTAGAATAATCTGTTTCAGATTTGTTAATTCCTTTTCTGATCTTTCAGCTGGCAGCCAGAACGCCAGGTTCCATTTAATGAAGTTAGATTACCACCACCACCTGACATAAAAAAAGAAATTAGTGAAGGAGATGAAGTAGAGGTATGTATTTTAAGTTTTTGTGTGTGTCTTTTTTTGTTCTAAATAAATATTCTTTTAGGAAAATCTGTTTAGCTGATAGACAATAAATTTCTTTTCTCTAGTCTTTCTATTATTAATTGGCTGTGTAATATATATAGCAGGGCTTGAGTTTGAAATCAGAACTGGGATTCATATCGTAGCTTTACCATTTTTAGCTTTGTGGCCTTGGTCAGGTTTCTTTACTATGAAAATGAAAATAATTTGGGAGTAAGAATGATAGTGTATTTGAATTGGTTTGTATGGAATCTGGCACAGAGAGCTGTGTGGTATTGGTTGCTGTTTTCCTTTTTGCTAATTACTTTAAATTTTTTCTTGTACTTTTTTTTCTTAGTATCTTTGTAATATATTAATAGTTGTCCTTTATTGTGATCATTAATATAGTTGATACATAAAAATGTGAAATATTGTAATTAGCATACAGCCTTGTTGAATAGTTTAGAAATGTCCAGAAAATTTTTAAAAGTACAGAAAAACCAAAAGGACTAAATAGGAATTAATGTGAGAAGGAAAAAACCACTGTTCACCATTTTTGTTATTCCTAGGCTCGCTCTCGCCCCTTTTTTTAAAAATAAAAGTGGGATTATATAGTGCTGCTGCTTTGTACATTGCTTTTATTCACACTTAGTAGAGTTTGGATGTCTATTTTCAATATGTTAGTGTTGTTAAATATGCTTGATGTTATGTGAAATGAAACATGGAAATAATTATCAAATAGAGGTGTTGTGAGTCTGTTGGAGACAGAAAATTTGATTTGTGATTTTCAAGAAATTGATGTAATTCCTTCAAGGTGCTCTAATATGCTAAATATATTTTTCTAGTTTATGTAGGATGGGATTGGGGGAACTGGAGGTATAGGAGAACCTATGCAGATGAAATATCTCTGTGAATGTTTTTATAAGCACTTAGCAGTACATACTCTGAACCAATGTTCTGAGCACTTGGCGCATGAACTCAGTTATCTGTCTTTTATTTTTTGTAATTCTTAATAGTAAATTTTGAGTTCCCATTAATTGTAGATGTTATATGCTAGGAAACCAAAGAATGGTGGCTCGTTTTAATTCCTGGCAGCCTAAACTCCTTGCCATTCTGAAATTTGGCCTAGATTTTAATTACTTGCTCTAAGTTCACTGGGCACCCTTTTGCTTTTGCTAAATCAAAGCATGTTATAACTTAATTGTGTCAGGGCACCACGAGACTACTCTGTAATGGTATAACCTTCACTTTACTTTTTTCTTTTATAGTTTACTTCCACCAAAAGTGAGAACTAAGAACTTTTTTTAAGATCTGTAGCTGTAGTCTAGGTGTGGTGTGTATTTGTGTCCTTTAGGGAAATGTCATAGATGGTATGGGAAGACACAGGGAAACAAAGTGGCAAACTGTTTGCTGTAAAGTAAGGAGTGTGAAATAGGGTACTGGTGCATACTATGAACTGTAGCCATGATGCTGCTGATTACTACTCTACCTGTTCACTTGGACTTTAGACTCCAGTGAAAATGTTTTTCTCAGTATTGAATCCTTTTCTAATCAATATCTTTTTGTAAGGATGGGTAAAAGAGCTTGATTTGTTTTCATTTTTCAAAATTTCTGTTTTAGAAGTTTTTTCTTATGGAATTCTGGTGATGGGTTAGGTTAGACAAGGAATGACTTCATTTTGGAAATGTTCTAGAATTAGAAATGTGTGGTGGTCAATTTTGAGACTAGTGCTTTTCATACTTTTTAAATTGTTCAGATAATGAAACGGTAAAGGCTCAGATTAAAGGAAAAAGTTGGTGGTGTGCTCATGGTGCTTTCCCCTGTCTCAGACTAAGAAGTTCCTGGACCATCTTTTTGGCCTGCCTCTCCAGCTGTGTACAAAATATCGGTGTAAGAGATGGAATGATTTGAAAATTGATTGCAGTGTTTTCTTTCACATTGTATTTTATGGTTTAGTCTTGGTGAAATTTGTTCCTTAAATTGTGAGAATCATTATCTGAAATTAAGATGTCATTTTTTTTCCACTTCTGAAAAATTTGAAAATTCACATAAAGAAGTTTAAAATCGATCTTGCCACCCACGGATTCACTGGCTTTTTCTTTGTCCTTTTTTCTTTTTTTTTTGGCCACCATTAGTTAGGAAACTGTATGACCTGAAATGTTTAGGAATTATGGTTGTTAATTTTGAACCAAATACATTTTTGAAAATTCCTTACTCTTTTTAAATTTTTAAATTTTTAAAAATTTTAATTCTAGTGTAGTTAACATAGTGTTCATTTAGTTTCAGGTATACAATATAGTGATTGACTAGGTTCATATATATTACTCAGTGCTTATCAAGATAAGTGTACTCAAAATCCCCTTCACCTTTTTCACCCATTCCCCCACCCACCTCCCCTCTGGGAACCATCTGTTCTCAGGTTTGTACTTTGGTTTGTCTCTTTTTTTTTTTTCCTTTGTTTTATTTCTTACATTCCACATATGAGTGAAATCATATGGTGTTTGCCTTTCTCTGACTAGCTTCTTTTGCTTAATATTCTCTCTAGCTCCATCAGTGTCATTGCAAATGGCAAGATACCGTTCTTTTTTATGGCTGAATAATAATCCGGTGTGTGTGTGTGTACGTGTGTACACACATACCCCCCACATCTTTGTCCATTCATCAGTTGATGCACACTTGGGCTGCTTCCATAGTTTGGCTGTTGTAAATAATCCTGCAGTAAATATAGCGGTGCATATATTTATAACCCTTTGAATGAGTATTTTTGTATTCTTTGGGTGGATACTCAGTGGTGTGATTACTGGGCCTTAGGGTAGTTCTCTTTTTAATCTCCTCCTCCTTTAAATTCAAATAAAGTTTAATGTAAAAAATGAAATGATACAGAATTATATAAAATAAAAAGCGAACTTTCCCTCTTAGTATAGGTATGTTTGTACACTCTAGCTTAAATCTCATTTACCAGAGTTGTGTTTTTCTTTGCATTTTTAAAGAATATTTTTTTTTTAAGTTACAGAAATTGGGATTATGTTATATATTTGTGATTTCTGTATTCAGTCAGTTGGGATATAATAGACATTTTCATGCTGTACATACAGATTTACCTGATTCTTTCTAACCACCCCATAATATTTTTTAGTACGGATGTATCATAATTAGAAATTAAAATTACTGGCAGATTTTTTGCTATTGCCAAAAAATAAAACCCAGAGTTAATGTCCTTATGTAAATCATTTTCTGATAGTATGGAATCTAAGTGGTTCACTTGCTAAATTGGAGGCATGTGTATTTAAAATTTTGATGGTACCAAAATGTACCAATTTTGTCCTCCAAAAATGCATTTTGATTTACTACTTCATACTTTTGCTAACACATGGAGTTCAGTCATGACAGTTTAATTCTTGTAGGTCAGGAATGGTTGAATATTGACAATTTCATATGGTTTATCCTAAAAAATTTTTATTTTATTATGTTAATCACCATACATTACATCATTAGTTTTTGATGTAGTGTTCCATGATTCATTGTTTGCATATAACAGCCAGTGCTCCATTCAGTACGTGCCCTCTTTAATACCCATCACCAGGCTAACCCATCCCCCCCATCCTAAAATTTTACTACTATAAAAGTGGCTACTTGAGGTTCATATTTCCAGTCAATTTACGAGGCTTACATGGAATTATAGAACATAAATTAGTGTCATGGTCTAATGTCCTCAAGAAAACAGTATATGATTTATAGGAGAGAGATGGTTTTGAAAGGTTTAAAATTCAAAGCTTTATTTTTAAACCCTTTAGTGCCTTTTTTTTTTCCCCCCTTAGTGGCTTTTTCTTTGACTTTTTATTTATTTATTTAAAAAAATTTTTTTTTTTTATAGATTTTATTTATTTGAGAGAGCGAGAATGAGAGAGAGAGAGCACATGAGAGGGGGGAGGGTCAGAGGGAGAAGCAGACTCCCTGCTCAGCAGGGAGCCCGATGCGGGACTCGATCCCGGGACTCCAGGATCATGACCTGAGCCGAAGGCAGTCGCTTAACCAACTGAGCCACCCAGGCGCCCTTCTTTGACTTTTTAAAAAGTGGCGTATATTTTAAAATCTTTAACGTTTAGTAGAATTAAATTTTTTCAGTAAGTATTTGCTTGGTTGATTTTGCTAACTTAAGATTGCTAAGAAAATGCTCACCTTGTGGAATTGGAAGTAATGGGAAAATGATTTCTAGATTTTCTTAAGCTGGTTATATAATATAGTATTCTGGGATATTGGAAGTGCAGTAGAAAATGTTTTTTCTCCAGTGATTTCACATGTGAAGTGTTTTGTCTCTTATTATAGATAACTGCTTTGTTCAGCAAGTTAGTGTATGAGCTCACACAAACACATTCCATAGGAAGCCTGACACTCAAGCCAGTATATAATTTTACAGGGTTTTCCTCTTGGGTTTAATATATTTGATTAAGCAACTTTTTTTTTTTTTTAATTGTGATGCTTTCTGGTTGAGGTAAGATTGGCAAGTTTGTGTTCTTGTGACATAAACCTTTTATCTTTTACGGTGGCTTGTCAGACATTATGTTTCTATGTCTTTATGTTTTAATTATAATGTTGGGATAGATGCCTTGAGAGAAATAAGGGTAATAAGAATAATTTGAGATCAGAGACTCCCTTACCGGAAAATTTAAGAAAAACTTTTTTTTATTTGTTGGGGGGAGGGTTGCGGGGGGGGGGGGGGGGGGGGGGGGGGGGGGGGGGGGCATAGAGGGAAAGAGAGACTGTCAAGAGGACTCCCTGCATGGAGCTCAGGGCAGGGCTGTCTCACGATCTTTAGATCATGACCTGAGCTGAAATGAAGAGTCGGATGCTTAGGGGCAGTTAAGCGTCTGCCTTTTCTCAGGTCGTGATCCCAGCATCCTGGGATCGAGCCTCACATCAGGCTCCCTGCTCAGCAGGGAACTTGTTTCTCCCTTGGCCTGCTGCTTCCCTTGCTTGTGCTTGCGCACGCGCGCGTTCTCTCTGTCAAATAAATAAAATCTTAAAAAAAAAAGTTGGATGCTTAACGAACTGAGGCACCCAGGCGCCCACGCTTATGTTAAAATTTTTAAAATTCAGTATTTTTTTAATGCAAGAGACATGTAGTTTCCATTCTACCTTTATTATTTTTTAAAGATTTTAAGATTTTATTTGACAGAGAGCACAAGTAGGCGGAATGGCAGGCATTCTACCTTTAAAAAATACCTCAATTTGATTCTTGCACCCAGTCTGAAAATTTTACCTGTCTGTATTTAGTCTGTCTTACAATGCCAAGTTTATTGTTAGTCTTAGTGCTTAGGAAATTTGCATATGTTAAAGAGGTAAACATTCTTGTTTATTATATGGGAAATGGCTATTTTCCAAGACTTAAGAAACCCATTTGTTAAAAGTGTCAGCAACGTATTTGAGAAAATACTATTACATAGGTAGATAAATCACGTTAGTGTGTTCTAGATGTTAAACTTGCTTTCCTAATGGACATTTTCCATTTCTTCATAATAGGTTACGATTGTAATGAGATGAAATAGTGAATATAGAGGAACAGTACTTATAAAACTGGCTGTTATGATTAAGTATTCAGTTTAATGGTTAACATTATTTAGAAATTTTCTTCATAGTTAATTTGGTGAAAACTGGTAAAAAATTATTTCTGGTGTTCATATTTGGTTTTGACTTTGAAAAGAATAGTTAGATATTATTAACTTGACTGAAAGGTTGATAACATTAGGATCCAGACTGGAATTCCATTTAAGTAACAGTTTGGTTGTGGGTTAGAATTTAGAGGCTATTTTGTAGTATGGTTTGACTTGGAGTTATTTGGCAGAAAGAACCCTGAAACAGAATTCTGGAATTTGATTTTTCATATTCCATCCTCCACTCCGTGAAATTGGACTTCTTCAGCCTGAGTACTGTTGTGCTTTTAGGTCTTTCACGGGTCTTTTTTTTAAAGCTCTTCCTTGGATTTGTAGACACTTAGAATGTTAAAACAATGAGGGCTATTGCTTTAGAGCGTGATTTGCTCCTTGGGAATAGTTTGGAAATTTAAAGTCAGAATAAAGGGAATTTCTATGAGGCGCTCCTATTCCAGTGATGTAGTCATAAATACAGTAGTCAACGTCTGGGGCAAAGTATACTAGGGCACAGTTTTAATGCAGCATTAAAGTGATTTTTTATTGTGTGAGATAAACTGTTCATTTTGGAAAGAATGTGATTTGACCCACTGCACTCAAGTGGAGCCAGATTCATAGTGTTTGATACAAGCTCAGGAACTTGGATTTAGTTGGCTTTATGAGAATGACTTTGTCTTTCAACGGTAGAGTTTTTAATGAAGCTTACAGAGGTAGGTTAAGTATAAAATGGAATCCAGCATTTTAATGTTCAGTGAGAAATACAAAGCCTCAAGGCAGTCCAGAATGGTTTATTCTCTGTTTTTGGTGGTAAGCTTACATAGGAAGCCACATGCCTAGAAAATTGTGTTTTGGTGAAAGTAGAATTAGAGCAAAGGGATTTAGGTAATTTAAAGACTCATTCACTCCTGCCCCCCCGGAAACTTTTGAGGCACCCATTCACTAGATCACCAAGAGATACTCCATTCTGTTTAGCTGAACTGCCTTTCTGAGATAGTGTTTGGAATGGGCACTTTCCCTCTTCTTCTTAGGTTTTCTTTTAGTCTGTGGCATACTCAGGGAAAATGGTCATCAGCACTTACCATTTGGGCCCAGTGGGCCATTTTTAAGAAAAATTTAAGTCTGTTTACATATAATTTCACAGAAGTTAATAAAAGGATGCTCAAAGTTCACACTAAGTATCTTAATGAGCATTTAAACATAGCAAATATAGGGACACTTCGGTGGCATAGTCGGTTAAGCGTCTGACTCTTGGTTTTTGCTTAGGTAGTGGTCTCACGGTGGTGGGATAGAGCCCTGTGTTGGGCTCCGTGCTCAGAGCGGAGTCTGCTTGAGTTTCTCCTTCTCCCTCTAGGGCCCCCCCCCCCCCCC